TTTTGGTTAGGCACAGTGCAGGAATTACTGGGTGAGGTTCTCTAGATGGTCACAGTCGGCCCCTCCAGCTTTAAATCTATGAGCACGTGACAGTTTTTCTCAAATGCATTCATGATTCGGACTGATTGGCCATTATCGGCAATTACTCTTGGCCTGAGGTTCACGAGCTGTTAACAGTCAACATTCCAGCTGGTTTGACTGAAAGTGAAGGTCGTACATGGTCTGGTTCTGTTCTGTGCTTGGTTGAGCATAACTCTGTACTGGGAATTCTTATGTTCAGGTCATAATTGAATGTCTACACCACACAAAAAACCAAACAAACAAAAAAAACATGCCAGCAAATCTCAGAGACAGGGTCAACTGAGCCGGGCTTGTACTATGGGGCTAAAAATAGCAGTGTAGATGTTCGATTTTGGGCTGGAGCCTGGGATCTGAGACATACCCTGCTCCCCAGGTTTCAGAGCCCGGATTCCAGCCTGAGCCCGAATGTCTACACTGCTACTTTTAGCCAAGTAGTGTGATTCCCACGATCCCGAGTCAGTTGACCCAAGGCTGCATTGGGTCTTTATTTGTAGTGTAGACGTAAGTAACTTTATTGTCTGTGAAGTTTTACGATCTTCGCTTCACATTCAAAACCTCCCACTGCCAACACACCACTCCCACGGAATCACAGAAATGTCTGGAAGGGACCTTGAGAGGTCACCTAGTCCATTCCCTCCCTTTCCTAACCACCAGCATCCAGTGCTTTATTTACTAGACTACTCTGAATTGCATAACTTCAGTTGCAGTTACACTCCCTGTGGTGGTTATAATGGCCCTGGGGAAGTTCCCACCAGTAGTCATGGGTCATGGTGCGTAAAGTATGTCGACAGGAGAGTTTCTCCCATCGACCCAGCACGGTGTAGACACCGCAGTCAGTCGACCTAAGCTACATGACATAGCTGGAGTTGCGTAACTTAGGTCGACTTAACCCTGTAGTGGAGACCTGCCCTAAGCTTGAAAGCTTGTCTCTCACCAACAGAAGTTGGTTTAATCAAAGATATTACCTCAAGCACCTTGTCTCG